CGGGCCGGGCAGGGCCGCTGAGGTGGGGTTTACAGGGGGTGGGTGGGCAGAGGACCGACTTTTATCCGACTCTGATGAGAATGAAGATCAGCTGCTGTGCGAGTCGGTCAGGCCTCACGGGGATGAAGGAAGGAGCCGGCGCGGTTCTCCATCGAAATCGGGTGTCTTTCTGAAACGCGCTGTAGCGCGCCCAGAAATAAGGGCTTAACTGCAGGAATTAGCTGAGAGAAGCTCTTAGGCGGTGTCGCAAAGACAGATCGCAGAGGATGACGGTCAGAAAGCAGAGCTTTCTGACTTCGTAATCTCTGCTTACAGCTAAGCATACACGTAAGAATTTGCAGGATTATGGTCTAAGTTTCAGATAAAAGTTGTTAGACTTCTGTAGCAGCTGGAGGTAATCAATTAGAAAGTAGACATACAGCGTTAGAATAAATGTGCTGAGACCCCTGCCACGCTCTCTTTAGCACGGAGAAGAAAACCTCACAGACTATCAAGCAGGCTCAAGGGTTGGATTTGAGATTCGGGTCATCTGACAGGACCCTGGCTGCTTGATTATCACGTTTCTGGGTGATACTTAGGAAGCTCGGGCACGTACGGTACGCTTCCTGGTTGTGTGCGGTGTTCACCCTGTCCTACAGCATCAGCAGCAAGATGCATGGCTTCCTGATGAACTGGTTTGGAAAGCTGCTGTCCCTCCCGCTCCCCCGCCACAGCATTAGTCATTGCACCTTCATTGCACAGCTTCATATTCTGCTGGCTAGTCGCTCAGTTCGTTAGCCTTCCTGCCTTGGTATGTGTCGTGTAAGAAAGTATTGCTGAGGTAGGCTTCTTCCAGATTTCCCGGCTCTCTAGGTAAATCAGAACAGAAGCACGGCGCCTGGGTTTTCCTCTTCTGGCCTGATACGCGTACGCCTGTTTCTCTGACAACACTCGCGAGGCAGCTAAGCAGCCTACGCTTGAGAAAGGTAGCAAGAGCTGGGATGTTTCATTCATTCATTTCATTTATTCATTGCTAAGAGCTTGCAGATGAAACTATGAAAAGACAGTTACTGAGAAAAAAATACATGATTAGCTAAGGGCTAAGTGTGTTCCCAGTCCTTCCCAGACCTTGAGAAAAGCAAATCTTCCAGCTGAAGTCAATGGCTCTCTCTGCCTAGAGCAGGATCAAGGCCCATGTGTATTTAAGTACTTTTTCAGCCTGTGCTAGCGTCAGCAACTTGCTCAGCGCATGCTCACCCCTCCCATGGGCCCACTGCTTCAAACTAACACTGCTTTCATGAGATGAGTACCAGCTTCCTGCCGCTGGCAATGCTGGACAACCTCCCCTACACTCTTCTTGCTCGTATTATCAAAGGGGTCTCATCATTAAAGAGCAGCACCAGCTCCTCTCTCCAGGCCAGGTATGTGCAGCCAGGTTCATTAAAACCCAAGCGTTCAGTAACAACGGACACTCCCCCTCCCCTTAACCCTTCCTTAATAAAGGACTCCTTTGCTTTGAAAATACCATGCAGCGCTTTGCAGACGAGCTTAGGAAAAATAAACCCCCTGGGAACTATCAGGTAGGATTTTAATTGTATACCTTCTTTGCTTAGTTCTCATTTACACAGCTGTAATCTGGCTATAGAAATATTTGCTGCTACGTTAAGCTATGAGGGTGAATTTTCCTGGTGATTGGTACACGTCACCATCATTGCAGGACATGGAAGCAAGGTGTCAGCGTCCTCTTCCAGGAAGCAAAAGGACAAAGCCAAACTTGGGTAAAACATCAGTGGGAAAGTCACAGCTGACTTCCATGAGATTAAAACTTAAGTCAAGGCATTGAACACACATTGTAAACTGTCATGGAGTTTTTGTTGCGGTTTTGTCAGGCTAACCTAACCAACTGAAAACAATTCTCACAAATTCCCTGCAAAAAAGAACTTAAGCACAGATTGTGCTGTCAGACAGCTCAGGCAAAACTGTTTAAACATTACTATTAAGAAACAGTCTACTAAGCTTCCCACAAAGGAGATTCCCATTGAAGGACTGAAATGCCGACCTGTCACACAGTCTTGCCTAGCACTAACATTAGGTCATCAGACTGTTCGGAAAACATTATGAAGGGTCAGAGAGAGATTATACAAAAATGAGTGCACCGCCATCAGCATAAAGAAGTCATTAATGCAAAGAACACCTCAGCTTTTTCAGTAGCGCGGCAGCAGACGGGGCCTGTGAAAAACTTCCCTGCTTTGCCTGTTAAGGAGTGACCTAAGCAGAGATTTATCTGAAATGATTTGTCTGCAGCAATTAACCTGACACAGACATAGGACATGAGCTGAAAGTGAGTTTCTGAGCCCCACTATTGTTTCCACAAATTACGAAACGCTTATTTTTTTTTGCATTTAAGCACAGTGTTTTCAGCTGACTCTCATTTTTAGTATCCAGCAGCAAGTTCTTGCAGGTCTCTCAAGCTTCTGTATCAACAACTGAAAAACAACACTTCGTTATCGCAGCAGATGGACTCTTTGAAGGCTTAGGAAAAAAAAAAAGGTTGCTTCGACTTCAGTGGGCATTGGATAAGGGCCCAGAACAAGAGATGTGAAAAATCATCAATGACTATCAGTATTTTAGTTAGCAAGAGGTAGATGTAAGTACATAAATCACATATTCTCTCTTTATAGGGCAATGCTATTCAGCATTCAAAATGCTGGGAATGATGTACCAAACTGTTCATCTCAAGGGTGTTATTTGAGATTTGCCTCGTGTTGATAGTGATTAAAAGTCATTACCGTCTGCTCAGTGGCCTATTTGAAATGAGACGTTTATCTCCAACGATTCCTAGCCAGCCAGGATCCACAACAACGAAAAGCATGATTACGGTTACTGATTTTATTTGCAGCTTCAATAAAGGGGCTGAGTAAACGGTTAAGAGGGCATTGTTGCCTTATGCATGAAGCTTGGTAGGTCTAGTAGAGACAGACCAAATCCTCCACTGAGGTCTCTGGAAGTGCACAAATTAATGCTCTGAGGATCTGGTGCAATTACGCTTTATAGAGAAGAGCTAATGGGTGGTGTCTGTGGTGTGTGCAAGTAGCAAATGTATGCTGTTGCACGAAAGGAGAAATCCATTACGTGCGTGTGTGGAGCAAAGATACAACATTACCTTCTTCAGGATGGTGGTTGCTGCTTTGTAGGCTTTCAGACTGGCTTTTTCTGAAGTAATGCTTACAGACCACAAAGCAGAAGAAAATGATGCTATATTTCAACTTTTAAAGTAGCTTCAGTAACAGAAGGCCATTTCTGTATTTGTGTTCAGCAAATCATTTTATGATTCCAGCTTTATTGCCTGTGTCCAAATCACAGCAAATAATTGTAAGGAGGTCAATCGCGGCTCGTGTTCTTCCTGTAAACAAAAAAATAGAGGTGCAGCTGTTTGAAAGTTCAAGTCCTAGTTCATGTAAACTATTCCCTTGTCAGCTAGTGGGATTGACCCTTAATCAGAGGCTGTCAAACCTGAGGAACAGAGAATTATTTTTCCTCCAACTATTCCATCTGGTTGGATAATAAGGAATGAGTAAATAACTCTTCAACTTGTTAGTTCATTCAGTCCAGTTCAGATGAGCGCAAAGCAAATGCTTGATTGTACCTGAGAGGTTCTCTGGAACACAAGTAGGTGCTGCAGTATCTTGTTGAACGGCAGCAATTTAAAAAAGTCAATTATTGCAAGCAAAGGAAAAATAAAACTAGCCATGACACACACTAGTATTAGATTTGGCAATTTTTATTAGTCAGTCTCCACGTGAAAAAAGCCTCTTAAATTGCAATTATTTGATAAATTATTTGATATTGATAATTATTTGATAAACAGATTTTTGTGATTTGTTCAGAAGAAAATGGATAGTTAAGGGTTACACTAATGTGGATTTAACATTTAGGCTTTTGTTTATTTTTAGAAATACCCTTGCCTCTCTGTTTCTGACTCGTCTGATATTAGAGGAATTATTTTTACTTGAGAATAGTTTAGGCAAGAACAGGTTTTGGTCAACTGATTTCGGTTGATTTAATCCAGATTTGCGGTAGCGTCAGTCAGAGTTGAACTGAACAGAATATAGTTCGATGCAAATGTTTTTAGTTTTCTCTTCTTAACGTGAAATCCAGTTCATGCAGTTAGCTAAAGAGAGTAGCCATGTGTCCTGACCGCTGGTAAATCACAAATGATGTAGAGCTATGGAGACATATGATACACACACAATGTAAAATTTTCCTTCACGAGCTTTTCTAAACATATTGTGTTAGTAAGTGAGGACAGATCTAGTAATAATAATGACTGGGAAGTTGCTTTTAATCTCTGATATGTACCCACTTGGGTCTGTAACGACAGAGGACTAGGCAAGTCCTCTGGAATCAGAAGATTCAGTGATGCTGAGGAGAAGAAGAGCAAAACACATTTTTCAGATCTTTTATTTTGTTCCTAATAAAATTCTCGGTGGGTTTCTCCATTCTTATTTAAATTTGCACAGTTTCTTGTTATAGTTGCTGTCAAAGAAGTAATTTTCCAAGAATCTGCATCCTAATTAGGAACAATGAAGGAATCACCAAATGTGCACATGAAAGAGTGCAGCACATGGAGGATTGTTTATCTGTACAATTCAAGTGCAGATTGCCCCTCTGTAAATTCAGAACATGAGGCTAAAAGGGCCTAGATGCTATTAAATCTGAGAAGTTGCAAATGCCACTGCTATATTAAATTCACCAATATGAGCTGAACAAGTGTGTTTTCTAGCAAAACATTCCATCTTGATTTGAAGATACTGGGAGACAGGAAAAAAAAAGTCTGTAGCTTCACGGGTCACTTAAATGTATGCCTGTTTTCTCATCTGGCTTTGTACAATTCCAACATTCAGAAAAAAAGTGTTAATAATAAGCCCTTTAGAAACTCGATCTCATCTTGTGGGCATACCTATAGACTGTGATTAATAGTTTGTGACTGATGTGCAGCAAAGAGAATACCTGAGCTCTGACACCTCAAATCACCTCATTTCTTCACTTACCCATTTGAATGAAGGCACAGATTGTGCCTACAGAATAAAACCCTCTTCAACCTCTAGCATTAAACTCATGTCTAGCATTAAACTCAAGTTAAATAAATATTTTGCAACTTTCTTGATGCAAGAAAGCTGAAGCCTATGAAGCCCTCATCAGTGGAGATGAGAGTTCTCTTCCAAAGCACTCCTTCTGATCTGCTAGGTGCAAGGTGGTCTAGCTGCAGTGGTGGCACAGCTGTCTTCTGCACAAGCAGCTGAATCAGTTTGGGTCCCCAGCTCACTAATGGGAGTCAGTGGCAAATGCTTAGGGAAAGCATAAGAATGAAGAGTGCAGGGAGTTTCCTTTGTCTTGGAGTTACAGCCCAATATGTAACAATTTCTTAAAGGCTCTCTGGTCTACGCTACCCTCCTAAGAAGAAGGAAATATTATCTCCCCTTACGCTGTCTGGAAGCCCTACAAAGGGAAACGGCTAAGTATCTGAGGTTCTGCATGCCAAGAAGAGTGGGAATATAAGTAGAGGACCTCCTCCCAGACATCACCTCAATCAAGAAATCTCTCCTCTAACTAGAGACATCCCCACAACAGTCATACCCCTGCCCAGACAGAAACTAGGCTTTCTCTAAACCTACCTCTAACCTAATGTCTTTCTCCAAGTCTTCTTCTTCCTTTTATTCCCTAAGAAGATTCAATCCTTTTGG